TCTCCCTAGAAAACAGCAAATACTTGGCATCTCTCTTGTACTGGTGGTAGGGATGGAACCCAGGACCTCACACATGCTAGATCAGTACTCTGTCTAGTAGTTTTTAAGTAGACACTTAAGCCCACTGAGACCAGTACACTCTTAAATTTTGCACAGATTTTGGAAAAAACTGTCATAACTGATCACCTAAGTTGAAGATAAACACTAGTATTGTAAGCTTACACCTTTACTCCCAGCACTCTGGAGGCAGAAGAGGCAAGTGGATGTCTGTAAAATGGAGGCCAGCCTAGTCTGTGTAATAAGTTGCCGGCCTGCTGGGACTACAGAGAGACCCTGTCTCAAAAAAGACCAAAAGACAAACAAACAAAAACATCAGTACTGTGATTCTGAGACTTCACTTTGATTTTTTTTTCCTTTCCTGCTTCTGGACCAGATGATTCAAAGCCAAATGGAAAGAAAGTTGTGGGTGACGTGGCATATGATGAGGCCAAAGAGAGGGCAAGCTTTATCACACCTGTCCCCGGTGGTGTGGGGCCCATGACTGTGGCAGTGCTGATGCAGGTACTGGGGGAAAAAGTTTCTATGACTGTTGTGAAAACCCAAAAGTATTGCAGCTGCTGCTTTTCTCCCCAAAGAGACACTACATAAAACATGCTCAGAACTTAGGACAGATAGGAATCTGTGGAAGGGAAAGGAATGGGAGAACAAGGACATAACTCACCTTTCCTGATTAGAGGAAATGGTAGCATTCTTGTTTCCTTTGGAATATAGAGCTTAAATAGAAACACAAACACTGACCGATACACCTGCTGATAAGGAAAGAGGAGTAGCCCTGGAGCACCAGCAGGTGCATGTGCACTTGCACTCATCTCGAGATGAGGCATTTTATAAGGGGATCGTGAAGCAGTTAATTTTGGGCTGAACTATAGTGACCTGGGGTTTGGAACTGATGTAGGGAGTTAAACTGTTCATTTTTCCAATTCTGTCTCTGCTTAGAGCACAGTAGAGAGTGCGCAGCATTTCCTGGAGAAATTTAAGCCAGGAAACTGGAAGATTCAATATAACAACCTGAACCTCAAGACACCTGTGCCAAGGTAAAAATGCCGTGTTCTTGATTTAGAACTTTGTGCATGGCTAGGTTTCAGCTACTGGATACCATGTGTCCATATGCTCCCACTAGCAGCACCATCAGTTGGAGTGGGGGGGGATTAATTATAGTGACTAAAGATTAACAGCCGTCTTCTGTGTTTTTAAAGTGATATCGATATATCAAGATCTTGCAAACCGAAGCCCATTGGTAACCTGGCTCGAGAAATTGGGCTGCTCTCGGAAGAGGTGGAATTATATGGTGAAACAAAAGCCAAAGTTCTGCTGTCAGCACTAGAGCGCCTAAGGCTCCAGCCTGATGGGAAATACGTGGTGGTGACTGGGTATGTGTGTGTTGGTGTTGCCAGGCCGGTCTGCACATTCAGCCCCCTGGCTATCACCAGTGGCAGCATATTGTCCTTAGCACACAAGGAAGAAGCTGATAGTGTGGTCTTGACATTTTCACATGCATTTGAAATAATATCATGCTTACAGCAGCCCTGTCAGTAGTCACAGTAGAAATCCTTCAGAAAATGAGAAAATTGGTCAATTTGTCATTTAGGTAAAAGAGTTTGATTTTTCAAGATAATTTCATTTATTAATTAAAAAAATTTTTTTTGCATCTATTTGTGGGGCAGGGAGTGAGGGGGGCTTGTACATACCATGAGGCACATGTACCCCGTGGAAGTCAAAAGTTTTCTCCTCCCATGTGAATTCTGGGGATCAAACTCAGATTGTCAGGCTGGATGACAAGAGCCTTTACCCCTTGAGCCATTATACCAGCTCCTTTTTTTTTTTTTTCTTATTTTTGAGGCAAGGTCTCACTGTGTAGCTTTGGCTGTCCTAGAACTCACTATATAGACCAGGCTGGCCTTGAACTCACAGAGATTCACCTGCCTCTGCCTCCTGATTGCTGGAATTAAAGGCATGTATCACCATACTGGCGGCTTTTACTTTTTTTTTATTTAAAAAAAAATAATTGATTCACTAGATTTCCTGGACAGCTGTTTTTATTGCTGGACTAAGTTATAGATAAAAGCAAATTTTTTTGTGTTTTTTTTTTAATATTGAAGATTGAACCCAAGCCTTGTGCATGTTAGGCAAATGATCTATCACTGAGTCCCCAGAATTATTTTTTGAGATTCTAAATTTAAAAATTAAAATTAAAGGATTGCAATGACGTTTCAGTTATATTTCCTCCTTATAGTGAGTAGAAAGTATAGCATTTTGTTGCTGTTGCTATTGTGTGTGTGTGTGTGTGTGTGTGTGTGTGCACGCGTGTGTGCGCACATATGTGTGGTGGTCAGAAGACAACTTTCCGAGTTCCAGGGATGGAACTAGGTTGTAAGGCTCCAAGGCTCCAAGGAAGTTGGGGATGGAGAGATGGCTTAGCAGTTAAGAACACTGACTGTTCTTGCAGAAGACCCAGGTTTGAATTCCAGCACCCACATGGCAGCTAACAACCGTCCATAATTCCAGTCCCAGGGGATCCAACAGCCTCTTCTGACCTCCTCAGGCATTGCATGACACGGGTGCACTTACCTACATGCAAGCAATACATGCATACACATAAAATAAAAATAAAAAAAAAAGTCTCCAAGGAAGTATTTTATCTGCTGAGCCATCTAGTGGTTGGTTTGTTTGTTTGTTTGTTTTTTGAATGTTTTGAAAATTACAATTTAAGACTTAAAAGAGCTCTCTCTCAGAGCTTTTGTTTTCATATTATTTAGACTAGGAGTTATTCTCTGGGGTCTGCTAGGTCCATCCTAGTGATTCTAATAAAGTTAATTATGTAAGTAAACCATTTGTCTTTTGTTTTCCTCTTGAAGCATAACTCCAACGCCTCTGGGAGAAGGGAAAAGCACAACCACAATTGGTCTGGTGCAAGCACTGGGTGCCCACCTGCATCACAATGTGTTTGCATGTGTGCGGCAGCCTTCTCAGGGCCCCACCTTTGGAATAAAAGGTACGTGTGGCCAGAGGGAACTTTCTTCTCCTTAGTCCTCCCAGATTGACTTGACCCATGATCTTAACTCATTTAGATACCTGGAATATTTTCCTCAGACCTTGGTTTGGTGATGCTTTCAGGGAGGGCATCCATTTACCCCAATTCCTGTCAGTATTTGACAGGGGACAAGGAGTCTGTGGTATGGAGAAAGTGTAGCTGGGTATTCACTATCACAGTAACAGTAAAGGGAATCTTAGCTACCGATACAGGTTTACATGGAAACAAAGACCCACACCACCAGTGTCTCCCTTTTGGAAGTAGGAAAAGCCTGTCCTCATTGAGTGTCCACTTTGTGCTAGGATTTGTCTAAGCAGTTTATATATGCTTCCTTGTATCCTCCCATATGAGATGTGATTATCATCAACTTATGATAGCAGTAGTGGGAGTTTAACTTAACTAGGTCAAAGGCACCATTGTTACTTATTTTGTATAAGTAACAAGTATTTTGTATAAGTGTGTTGCTATGGTGTATACATGGAGGTCTGAAAACAACCTGAGGAATCTGTTCTTTCTACTGTGCCCATCCTGGAGCTCAAGGTCAGGTGGTCAGGCTTGGTGGCAAACACCTTTTCCCACTGAGCCATCTTGCTGGCCCCTAAAGGCACCATTATTAACTTCAACCAGAACAGCTCTCATCTGTATGTTTCAAGCTCTGTGCCACTACACACAACACTTCTGATTAGATGAGAACACCAGTACTCACATTTAACCTTCTAATTTTGATCACTATGGTTCTGCAAACATGCTTTTAGCTATTTATGTATTTTTTTCAGATTGTTTATTGATTTCCCCCCTGCTCTCAATTGGTTACTGTTAAATTGAGGGCATCACACATATTAGACAGATAGTTTTGCTGCTAATTTCAGAACATGCTCCTTTAATTAAACTTACTTTTTACTATGGCATGTTCTTGGAGGCGGCCATATCATTTGCTAGATGACAGGTGTGGTGTTGTACTTGTTCCACTAATTAATGCAAATGCTGACAGCAGGTACCTCTTCCCTCCTGCCGGTTTTGACTTGGTTCTGCTTATGAGCATCATTTTGTTTTGTTTTGAGATAAGGACTTGTGAATAGTTCAGGCTGTCATGGAGCTCTCTTTGTAGCCCAGGTTGTCCAATTTGCCATCCTTCTGCCTCCTGAGTGCTAGGATTATGGGTTTGAGCCACCATGTTCTACCTTTGAGCTTATTATAACAACCCCCTTTCAGCTCCAGGAGCCTTTCCCTTGTTCTGATTAGAGAACCCCATTATCTTCTTCTCTTACTGAATTTTCCTCATTGCATGGTCTCTGCCCCACAAAAATCAAATCTGTTCTCCATACTGACATTTGTCTTACTGATGATGTGACAACCTGATCATTTTGACTGGCCTTTTGTTAACCAAATGGGCCAGCAGAACTCTGGCAGTTGCACTGTTTTCTAATGTATGTCTCATTCTGGAAGTGTTGGGATGTCTGTGTTAGGTATGTGTAAAGATTCCTTTTTTGGAAGCCAGAGTAGCTTTGTAAGAGTAGGGAATTAAACAGGCTTGCCTTTATATAACTCTCATCCAGGTTTTTAACATGTTAGGAATCACAGGAGTCTATTTCTAAAGATAATGAGTCGGTATGTATGTGAGTGTTCATGGTTTTGTCATTTGCACTCAGATTTCAGTTGAGAGACTATTCAATGTGAAGAAGATCAAGTGTTTTAGTGCATTAAAGAAAATTAGAAAATACCTGATCATATCTGTCCAAATGATGGTGAAAACTAAACAAGTAGTATGCTTAGCTGACTTGTTTGTGTTTGGATTCCAAGTCATGGAGAAGCACATCTAATGAGCCCCCACCCTGATCTGTCCCCTAGGTGGTGCTGCAGGTGGTGGCTACTCCCAGGTCATTCCCATGGAAGAGGTAAAGTCCTCTGGCTTTTGGCTAAATCAGAGATTATATTACAGCTTTTTCCCCCTCTAGAGATTGAACTTTTTTTTTTTTTTTGGAATGCTTAGTGGACAAATGACTTGTTTCTCAACACGAGTAATACATTAGGCAAAATATATTAATTTGTAGACTTGTGACAACAGTTTGGCCCCAAGTCTGGCTTGCAGTGGGAATAATCATTTTAAGTAGGTGAACATACATGCTGCATGATCTGGAGACCTGCAGAGTCCTAGTGACAAAAGTGTACAGACTTGGATTGGAGCTGCTCTGGCATGCTCCTCACTCTTGTGGCTTCAGGAGTCTGGCTGCTGCTGCTGTTGATCCCAGGTGGTATCTGTGCTTTCTGGACATGCTATTTAGGGAACACCATGAGTTCTGTGTTTGGAGGAGTTGTTTCTGAGGACAGATAGCCAGCTACTCTCTTTTAAAAAAAATTTTCTCATGTTTGCTTTGTAGCCAGGGTTGACAGTAAGCTGGCAGCAATCCTTCTGCCTCAGCCTCCCATGCACTGAGATTACGGATGGGAGCCACTGCAGCTGGCTCAGGCACCTGTCTTTCATAAGCTGCCACTCCTGGGTGTCTAGCACTTGCTGTGCCACTGTCAGTAATCCTTTGCTGTTAGCATAGGGATGGATTTCATCATGGTAAAAGGAAGACTAGAATGCAGAGCAGTTGGAGACAGCTGTGGCTTCTACTCTTTTGTAGTTTAATCTCCACCTCACTGGTGACATCCATGCCATCACCGCAGCTAATAACCTTGTTGCTGCTGCCATCGATGCTCGGATATTTCATGAACTGACCCAGACAGACAAGGTAGGATATGGAGGACTTTTTTTTAAAAGGGGGAAACACTGAAGTAGTGTTGGTTCCTTGGATGCTGATTCGGGTGGTAAGACAGTGAGACTTCTCATCTTAAAAGCCCTTTTCTTCCCTTTCTTTAAGGCTCTCTTTAATCATTTGGTGCCATCAGTAAATGGAATAAGAAAGTTCTCTGATAGCCAAATCCGAAGGTTACGGGTAAGCTTTTTCCTCTTGGAGAGAAGGGGGCTTCAGAGAAAGAATAAGAAAACCCACAATGTCAGGGAAAGCAGGTTTGGGCTTCTGGCCAATATCAGAAAGAAAAAGAGGGAGAAGGAAATGAAAAAAAAAAAATCTACTTTTTGAGTGAGTACTCCAACAGTGCTGGTTTAGCAGTGCTGCATGGAGGCTATGGGTGAGGGAACTCTGGGAAGGATAAGTACATTATCTCATTAGAGGGGTAATAATTCCTCTCACAGCCTTACCTAGTCCTCAGGTGAATTCTCTTCTAGAGGTGTGGTCTCCTGGCCAAGGGACTGAGAGGCCTGGCTGAATGAGCTCTTAAGGGAGGAGACCACAGAGTGTATTAATTGGAAAGTCCTGTCTCCACCAACGGCCAGAATTTGACTACCTAATTTTGAGCTAGAGAAAGTTGCTTTCTCTTAATGGATCTCCATAAAGCACTGAAAGCTCTACCTTTTTCTATGTTAATGTGAATGTTTAAGTGGGAAATTCTCAAGTTTCCTTTCTAGTGTTACCTGGGAAATAAGCTCGAGGAGAGGTCCAAAGTTGACCGTGGGTGAGGGTCCTAGATTGACTAGATTCACCAGATGGACAAGTACTGGGGAATGGCTGGGGGTGCCGACAACACAGATTTTTTTTTTTAAAGTTACTTTTTGGTCACTTACATGATTTGAAATCACTGAGCAGGAAAGTGTAATCAAGAGTAGAGTAACTAGATACAATACGAAGCAAAAAGACCTAGCAGAGCCTGTATGTGCTACAGCAGCTACTGCAGGATCAGCTAAAACCAGGAAACAACTGAGCATCAGGGATCAGAACAGGGAGAAAAGCGGTCAGGTTCCAGAGGGCACCAGCTATGCCTGTGGCATCTCAACCCACAGCCATGGAAGTCTAGATGCCCAGCACCACCATCACTTCTGAAAACATGTCCTTCAATCTTAACGCATGGCCATCATCTGATTTTGATACACATTCAAGTACATTTTCAGCTAGTTTCTGCTGAGAACCTTGGGCCTGGTTTTGTTTTTTTTTTTATTTTGTTTTTTTTGTTTTGTTGTTTTCCTTCAATCTAGTCTAGATTTCACATATTGATACAGGGGAAAACAATGTCCCCTTTCAAGGATGTTAGTCTCATTCATGAACATTTTTTAAGAATGAACTTAATGGGAAGGTTTACAACAGGCAAACTGGAATCTCAGCAGCTGCCTGGAGAAGGAGAAGGAAAAAGCCTTAAGTCCATCCTGGTTTATAGCCAGCATGGAGGTCAGACGTGTGGTAGACTACCAGGCACATCGGATGTGGAGGGGAAGAGTAAAGAAATCCAAAACACTGGAACCCAAAGTGTTAAGGAAAGCATAGTTAGAAAAACAAGAAAAGCCAGGTGGTGGTGCATGCTTTTAATGACAGCACTCTGGAGGAAGACGTAGGGTGATCACAGTGAGATCAAGGCCAGCCTGGTCTACATATAGAGTTCCAGGACAGCTGCAGCTACAGGGAGACCCTGGCTCAAAAATACAAGAGAGGTAGAGAGAGAGAGAGAGATGGAGACAGAGACAGAGAGACAGGGAGGGAGAAATAAAGGAGAGGTTATGCTTTTCTGACAAACAAGCAGACTTAGGGAAAGCTACTTGTCTGGGACCTGAACTGTAAACACTGCACTAGGGGGCTGGGATTCTGAACAGGAAAGTTCACCATCTCATTAATTCACTATGTATTCTGCCTATATCTTTAGCATGACTTCATATGAACCTACCTTCCTAGGGGTGATACTGTGATCAGCAAAACTAAAAAATTGGGTCTTCATCCAGGCCACAGATTTTAATCTCTTGACCAGTTTTCTCTTCAGGGACTTTTTTGCTACTGCGACAATGTGAGAGATATGATGTGATATTTGCCTTTTCAAATCTGGCTTATTTTTCTTAACACGATGATTTTTATTTCCATTCACTTTCCTGAATAGTATGTGATTTCATTCTTTTTTTATAAAATTATTTTTTCTCCCTTCATTCCTTCCGTCCTTCTCTTTCTTTCTTTCTTTCTTTCTTTCTTTCTTTCTTTCTTTCCTTCTTTTTGTGTATGTGTTGTGTGACATGTATATGTGAGGAGAATTTGTGGGATTTAGCTATCAATGAAAATGCACAATTCTCACCTCAAAGGGAATAAGAATTTATTCTGGAACCAAATATGAGTGATGATAGGCTGAGGAACACAGATTTAGGTCACTCCAAATTATATGGTCCAACAAGGAACAGTTTCATGAAGTTTTTATAGTAACTGAACAAAGTCATAAATCAAGACGCTTTTCAAATACACTGGTGGAAGCACTAAGTAGGTAGTTACAGCAAAATAGAGAAATGTTAGTTGTAGGCCTTAGTGCACTCAGACTTTGGGTTGGTGGAAGGTAGGGTTCTATTAATACATTCCAAAAGGTTTTTATCTGTTAGTCACAGGATGTTAGGTCAGATACAAAGGTGGGCAAGGAGTAGATAGTTAATGGGCTAAAGATAGCACAAAATGGTAATTAGTCTCTAGAACTACAACGTTCAGAACTCTCCACAATCAAACCACTGAAGTTCTCATTAGTTGATCAGCCTTGCAGAATACTCACTTTGAAGATGCATGTTTTGGGGACTCCCCCATACCAGAAAAGTTCATTCACGATTCTCTTCTTTTGCCATGTGTATCCCAGGGATCAAACTCAAGTTATTAGGTGCCTTTACCCACTGAGCCATCTTAGTGGCCCAATTTCATTCCTTTCTATTGCTAAGCAATAGTTTGTGTTGAATTTCAGAAGTACAATAAAGCTTGTGGTAGGTAATTTTACTCCTTCAGAATCTCTGATTATTTTCCTGAAAGTCAAGGAAATAATAAGATTTATATGATTTTCTATTGAGATTCCACTTTCCATCAAAGTTCTTTTCTTTTAAAAAATATTATTAGACCAGGTGTGGTAGTTCAAACTTTAATCCCAGCATTCAGGAGGCAGAGGCATACAGATCTCTGTGAGATCAAGGCCAGCCTGGTCTACCTAGTAAGTACCAGGCTCAGGCTAGCTGGAGCTACAGGGAGACCCCCGTCCTAAAAAACCAAAAACCAAACCAAAACAAAAATATTACTGAAGATTATATTTATTTAGTAGAGCTGCCATAGCAATACTTGGGCTGTTATACATCTCGGGTTCAGAAGCTCAAGTTGTCCACAGATCAGATTTGGTTTCTCTGGCTTGTAAGTGGTAACCGTCATTCAACATTATTTCATGCTTTTACTTTTCATTTTCTCTCTACATATGCATCATTGTATACTGTTATTATCTTTTTTAAAAAGACACCCATCAGATTGGACTGGGCCCTCCCTAATCATCTTCATTTTTTTTAAACTTGTTTTTAAAGAAATTTCTATGTAAATGCATATATGAGTACTAAGCATTAAAGCTTCAGCACATAGATCAGGAGAAAAGGTAGAATTTAGTCCATAACAGAGAATCATGAAGACCTATGAGAACTGCCTTATACTGAGAGCTGTGTGCCAGGAAGCTACTCCCAGGGCACATGATATGGCTGCTGCCTGTGGTCTCTCATGAGTAAGCCTGTGATACATGCCTACTTCTCTCCCAAGGCTGGCCTCAGGTGTCCTTGTCAGCCCTGTCCAAATTTCAAGGACTTCACGTTGTCCTAATTAGGTTTTAGAGAGGGAGAGGAGAGAAGATTTGAGAAAGAGGTGCTAAGTCAAATCTTCCTCCAGGCAAGAGATTGATTAATGCTGGCCGCAGCAGTATCTCAGTGACACTGCAGCAAAGTTTCAGCCCAGTGAGAGAAAGCAAGATGTCGTCTTTGTAAAGCTTTTGAGGGAAGAGAAGACTTGCCCCAGGGAAAGTAAGTCTTGTTAGTGTGACTTGTACTACATGATAGAGGTAGAAGAATAGGACCCTCTATGGCATACTATGAGGCAGAGGACATTCTTTCTGAGGTAGGGAAGTGAGGCTTTGTTACTGTGTGGCCTTATTATGTGACAGTATTCAAGCTGTTTTGACCCCTGGGTGATAGACAGAGTGTGTGTGTTCTTGCCCTCATTGCAACTCTATTTAGGGCTTGGTTAACTCCAGGGTCTTCTAAAATTTTCAGCTTTTGTGTTTATATGAAAGAAAGATAAGAGAAGGAAATAAAGGGACTAGAGGTTAGAAGCAGAAAACGAATTTATCTTGGGTTGCATCCTGTTAAATTGAGGCATCACTAGATTAAGAGATCTCTTAGTTCAGGGTGGAAAGTCAAGAGGTAGTCTTTGGGTTGGAAGCTGGTATCTAAATTCACTTCACTTTCTATAAAACTGTTTGGAGTTGGGATTTGTTGATTTCTGGAAAAGATGAACTGTCTAAGATTAGAAGAAGAAGAAGAATTAAGGACAGAATGAGTCCTAACTGAGAAAGGAATAGCCATAAGACTCATGGTGTTGATTGTATCAGCTTCCTGAGGATATTTTTGATATTTTGTTGAATTTTTCTTGATTTGTTTAAAAGAGTG